CAACACAATGACCTCCTTTTTGGATGCTCTTATATAAGTGTATCATGAGAGACATTGGGGGGAAGAGGAGAGTAGAGTCTTAAATCAAAAGGAACAAAGCAGGGTGTGACAACTTACCATGCAGCAAAATGTGGTGACACGGTTCAAATGCTTGTCCCACATTTAGGAGATGCACAAAGTAACCAGGCAACATAACCACTAGATAGCTGCCTGTAAGAGAAAAACAAAACAAAAACTTGACACAATTTAGATCATTTAGGAGGTGGGCTGCTTCGACCTTATTTGTCAGGACTAACTTGTGCTAAGAGGGAAACAATGTCCCATCAGAAAGACAGAAATAATCAATAAAACTTTTCCTCGGACAGGAATCATTGAGATGAGAGTACAAAAGGCCAACGGCATCAGCTACCAGCTTGCCCCACTCCTCAAGCATCCTAATATCCCCAATGAGATCAAACCCAAGGTCATTAACTCTATCTTCATCCCCAACTTGACTTACCAACGCCAGACAGGGACCTTGACCAAAAGTCTGATAGGTAAGATAACCACCTGCGAGATGAGACGTCTAAGGACAGCGGTCAACAAAATCAGACGGGACATGATCAGAAACAACAGGATCAGAGAAGTAAAGACATAAATCAAACTAGCATCTCCTGTGGTTGCCTGTTAACAGAAAAATACTTTGAAAACAAGAGCTTCTAATGGGGAGTAGATTGCAACAATTTTCCTGATGGAAAAATGGGGTTTGTCCCTCGGAAACAAATCCATATTAATTGTTAATCAAAATTCTGGATTTGTTTTGCAGGCGATTAACTCTTAATTAACTCTTTATCTTCGAGGGGGGTAAACCCACAATGCTGGTGCCCTCTTTTGGTACAACATTTTTTAATTGACATGTACGTCTCTAAAGTCGATAGTTCTTCAACAAATGAATGATATCCCAGTAAAAGAAACCTGTTTTTGGCAATTGCCGAAAAGTAATTTGACGTTGAAGTTGTCATAAAGGAATGTGCCCGAGCCCCTGCCAGCGGCTTAAATGCACAGCAGTTCGAACCGCGAGCGGCTTGCCAGAAATAAGGAATTAAAGTTCTTCAAACTTACATAGTATTGAGAATGCCAAATACATAGAATAGCTATAACTCACAGGGTATTGAGAATACTTAATACACAGTACAGTCTTAACTTACAAGGTGAGTAGACAAAACAAATTGAGAGGCATTAATTTAATAAATAGCCTTGAGAATATCAAATACAGTCGAACCTGTTATTAGACCACCTTTCAAAGACGATCACTTGCATAAACAACCAACCAACCCCTCAACCCTCCCCCCCCCACCCACCCACCACCCACCAACACACACAAACACACACACACACACACACACAATTTTATGCATTCTAATGACTCTGTCCATAAAGACCAACTCCCTTAGATGACCACTTTTCTTCTATACAACGGGTGGTTGTCTTGGACAGATTTGACAGCATTTTCACCACTTTAACTCTTTAATTCCGGATGGCCACTAAAGTGGTGCTTTTGGTTCTGCATTTTAGCAAATCATCACTCAAGTGGCCTTTTGAGGGTACCGATTTCATCAACCCCAAGATCTACACCTGTTCCTGTGCTACATTTATTACCTATTTTCATCCATATCGTAATTCCCTGTCCAAATAGTTTGATTGCTCAAACAAATAAGTCCATCAATATGTGACTGAATTATATCTATTTGTTTGTTTTAGTAGAGGTTTTACGGCGCTCGCAACTGCATAAGGTCATATGAGCGCAGGTTATATCTGTTTAAGTTAATACCCTTCGCCGCCTCAAATAGGGTGCATAAAATTGTGGAATCCCTTGCGTACTGAAAGAGTTAACTCACCCAACCATGAGAATACTAGTCTCTTCTGCATGACAATGTGCTTGGGCAGACTGGAGACACAGCCGTACAGGGTTTTGGCTGCAGTAAGAGAACATAAAACATGAACGCATCATGCAATCTTAGAACCACTCCAACCACATAAAGAACCCATAGAACTGGAGCTTATCCCTGTTTCTTGCATCTCTTAACTCTAAACAGTTCATTGTTTTTTAACCAATCTTTTTAAGGTAAAGTGAGTAGTTGTAGTACATAAAGTCCTATAAATTCCTGTCAGGGTCAATCAATAAGTGTTCTATATCAATATTAAAGTTATTGTAGGCATTTAGATTGATACAATATATTTATGAGGGTTTCATGTCTCATTTGGATAGAGTGACAAGCTTACAGTATATCTATATATTTTAACCCTATCAGTACGTTGTGTTTTACAACAATCGTATCCATACAACGTGGAAAACTCTGTGCCACCACTTTCCAAAGAGGAAATTTACACATTAATCCGATCCGTACACTTTGCATAGCAGTCTGTCAAAATGATTTTTTGAGAAATACTGAAAGTTTCAAAGAGATCTTCATACTAAAAGTATTCTAAAATGTGAAGAATACAACCCTGGGGGTACAAAATGACCCCAGGGCGTACGGATAGGGTTAAAAAATGACATTTTTTTTCTAATCTTTACATATGAGGAAACCACTAGTTTTTTTTTAGTAAGAGTTTTACAATATAGAAATGTTTGCATGCAGTGTAACAAATCAGCTGACAAGGAATAGATCTTCAAAACATATTCTCTAGTCACCAACGACAAATTCCTGACATTAATGACAATAGTAGAGTCACATTGTGACAGAGTACAGGTTTTTTTGTTTTGTTTTAGTAAAGGTTTTACGCCGCTCGCAACTGCATAAGGTCATATGAGCGCCAAGGGGTGGGTGTCAACAGAGAAGTCTTTACAGGGAATCAGACTTACTCTGCTCACCTCTCTAGCTTCAACAGCACAAAGTCTGCTTCGACTATCAAGGCACCCCGGAAATAGCGGGTCACAAAAGAGTGACAAACATACAAAAAAAGTAGAGAAAAATGACGATAGTAAGGATTAGGACAGAAAAAGCAGCAGTTTTCTGTTGTAGTTCAGGCACAGTTATGAGCATGACATTGTTGGATCAGCCCACTTACAATTCTACAGAGCATTAGAAAGAGAAATGTCCCCCTTTTGGGAATGGCCTAAAGACACTTCAGTCAGTGGCACCGCCCCGGGGGGTAGAGTTACAGTTTACTGTAAACCCACATGATAATGCCTATACACTGGAGTCTGCTTAAACCAAAGCTAATCCAAAAATAGCAGTAAACCAAAAGAAAATGAAATCCTACATTTTTTTCCCCTTTTATTTGTACAGCCTCTATAAACTGAAAACAAAGCTAAACTGAAAAAAATCTGTGAGTCCCACAGATTTCGAATTAAGCAGACTCTACTGTATTTCACTGAGAACGCATTGGGATTCTAGTATAAAAAATGAAGGGAGGTAGAAGGAGCAGACCATAGCAGAGCACCCACACACCAATCAACGACAACTTAAGTTCATGGTTTTTTTTCAACAAAACTCACCATGATGCACCATGCTCACGTAGTACTCAACATCCTGCACCTCACTGGGAGTCTGCACACACAGAAATTGAAACAAATATGATAACAGTTGATATGTTTTGGATGTAAGAATCATGTATCAAGTCCGACAAACAATAAAGTCGGTAGACAAACAGACAGGCATATAAACAGAGAAACACATCAATAAAACAACAGCCATTTAATGCAGAGAAAAAGTAAAAACAGACAAAGAGAGACAAAAGACGGAGCTCAGATAAGTAAGATTTGTCTGTGGTGTCCTCCAACTTCCTGCCTTCAAATCATCTCTTTTAACAAGACAGAAGTATTGTAAGCAAAGGAATATAATAATTTACAGAGTCTCTGTTATTGAGTCATCAAATCTAATACAAACCACTAAACCTAGCATATTCAATAAAAATCTCACTTAAAAGCGTTCACTTTTTCTTTAGTAAGCAGGACCCCAACAGAACCACATTAATCTGAAAAAACTGAACATCCCACATTGTGTAAGATTTAACAGAAATATATTCAAACCTGCTCTAGTGACCACCTGTCCAAGACAATCACCTATACAAACAACAAAGATCTCACACAGCAAGATGGTTCACTGAACCAAAAACGTGTCCATGGCCGCAAAGTACACACTTATTCCCAAGGGGTGCCACCGTGATTTTGAGAACACTTTTTTTAATAAGCTCAAAGAGAGGAGTGAACCATCTTGTAGTGTAGGATCTTTGCAAACAACCACATCCCATCTGCCCCCCTTCCATCTTTTTTTCTTCCAATAATGAAACTGTCTGAGATGACCACTTTTTTTCCAATGGGTGGTTGTCTTGCACAGGTTTGACTTCACCCACAGTCACATGACACACCTCTCGTTAGTTGTGTGTTAGCCTCCCTACCTGAGCACTAGCCTTGGACTTGGGCTGTGAGATGAGCTTGTGGTAGCACAAACAGAAAGTGCCGCTAGACTGCGTCAGGACTGTGACATTCAAGGTCAGCTCTGGAATTGAATACAATTTTCTCTGATCAAAACAAAAGTATACATCAGTTTGGGAAAATGATATTTTCTAAATGATTTTTAAAAAATAATCATAATTATCTTTTATCACTCTCATTAATATAATGTTTATTCAATACATGTTCATCCAGATATGGCTCTAGACACTTCACAATATTCATTACCACAACGAAACAGGTAATTAAATAAATCATATAACAAACCTTTAAAAAACATACAATACAAATGTAAATTCATTATATGTTCACCCACATATGGCTCTAGGCACTTAACAATATTTATTACCGAAACAAAACAGGTAATTTACTACAAAATATGTAACACACCTTACAAAAAGAATACAGTACAAATTTCCCAAGTCTACCTTCAAGATGCACAAAATAATCAGACTTCTATGAAAAAGTGGTTCTTAAAGTAATGTAAATTTTCAATGTAATAATAAAATTTGTGACAATTCATACTGTTTTTGGTCACCATCAAATAAAACACTGTATATAATAAAGGAAAATTGATAATCAGTTTACCAGGCTCTGTATATGAAATACACAATAGAGAAGTGTTTACCAAACGCATGAACTTAGTATCTGTTCTGAATATATGGCACATTAATAATATGAAAGGTTTCAAGACAGAAGTGTACCTGGAATTCCAGGGTGCAGTGGGATATCTGCATATAAAGGCCTGTGGAATACAATGACCTTATTGACATAAATCTATGAAAGACTACACTTATAAAACACAGATGTAGGCATTATTTGAAAGTGTTTTGCACAGATACTTTCCATCATATTTCATGTAGTAAGGTAACTATCATCTCAATCAGTGCAAACTTTAGATCAATAAAACATCTTTGTAAAATTTCATCTAACAATAATAATATGTGCACATTAATCTCTATCTTGAGTAAACTGAGAAGGATAAACTATTTCCTAAGTGACAGAAACAAGGACAGTTTGACGATAAATATGTGTTCTAGCTTCATTTGTGAAGTTATCCTAAACTCATGCATACATATCAATACATATAAAACAATACTTATAAAGACGTATTCAGTTCAGATTCTCAGTCAACAGAGTTCACTTACTTGTCCTTTGTTCTGATGTAGGGAAAGGGGAAATTTATGGGAATGTCAATCTGAAAGTTAAAAGAAAAGAGAGATGGAAAAAATATATGATCAATGTGTGAGCATAATCAAACGATCAAAGTTGAGTTTAGTAAGTGTAAGGGTGAAGGTTGAAAGTTCATGAACTCTTCATATATATCCAGGAGTTTGGCAAAGATAAACCCACAGGAAACAGTGTGGACTCTTATAACAGAGTTCATCGCTATGTGATGATGGTTGACTGGTGAATATTAGAATAAGTCTGTGAAAAACTAATTAAATAGTAGCCCTGAAAGCCAAATCTCACTGCAGTCATTGAACTTTGCATGGTATGAGCATTTTAAAAAAGAGAACAGAAAGCAATCACAAGTGATTAAAAAATGACAAAAGTTAAATTTTGAGATAAAACAAATGTTTGTTTGTTTGAGTAAAGAAAAGCACATCGATGCTATTATAGTCATTTAATGCTGGGAAAAAGTAAGACAGACAGACAGAAACAACAGAGGGAAAGTAAAGAAGTAAGACCTACCAGTGGCGCCCTCCAACCACCAATTAGCTAAAACTTAACTTTCCTAAAGTATTCTATAATGACAGGGAAACAGAACTGTAATAACTCACCATATTTTCATACTGCGCCCTCCCATGGAACTGTATAGTGGACATCTTCTGGCTGATCTCTCCGTTGCCACCATTCTCCATGCGTATATTCTCAATGTAGTGCAAGCGTTGTTGCTCCACGTCCCACTGACACCAAACAAACTTGCGTACAACTTGAATTGTCTCTGGCTGGCTGCTCATCATCTGGAGGTTTAGTTTTAGTAAGGTTTAGTTTACAGTTTAGTTTTAGTAGAGGTTTTACTGCGCTCACAACTGCATAAGGTCATATGAGCGCCAGAAGATTAGAGGTGTTACAAGAGAGTAACAAACATAAAAAAGAAGAAGGGGAGATAAGGACGATAGATGTTTGATAGGAAAGAAGAAGCAAACCAGACCAGAGCACCCGCCAACCACCCACTTAGTAAGGTTTAACTGCGCTCGCAACTACATAAGGTCGTTTGAGTGCCGAGGGGCGTATGTCAACAGAGAAGTCCAAATGGGGAATCAGGCTTACTCTGCTCACCTCTCTAGCCTCAACAGCACAATGTCTGGTTCAACTATCAAGGCACCCCAAAAATAGCAGTTCACAAGAGAGTGACAAACACACAAAAGGAGAAGAGGAAAATGACGATAGTAAGGATGAGGGGAAAAAAAGCAGCAGTTCCCCCTCTGTTGTTCCGGCACAGTATGAGCATGACATTGATAAATCAGCCCATTTACAATTCTACTGTGCATAAAAACATGTTAATATCCCCTCTTTGGGAATGGCCCAAAGACACTTCAGTCATTAGCACTGATTTGGTGGGGGGAATCATCTGGAATGAGCGACCCAAATGAGGTTGGAATGAAAGTCAAAACCGTTGTTGTTATTGCGCAATCTGTTCAACTCTAAGAAATATCATTTATCTCTTCCAGGGAACCATCTGATGTAAGCCTGCCCAATGATCAAGGCACTCAGAAAGAAATATTGGCCCAACCCTAGGCAGAGAGACCCAAACTCTTTGGGGGCCTGGAGGACCTGCAGCAAACAGCAACCTTTGCACTAGCACTAGCAAATTGGAGGAGGAGGAGGAGGAGGAGGAGGAGGAGGAGAAGAAGAAGACACCTCTTCATTCTTTGATTTCAAATTTTTCATCACAATGGATAAGTTTGTTTAATTTAGTTTGAGTACAAAGAGACACATCAATAAAACAACGACCATACAGAGCAGAGAAAAAGTAAGACAGACAAACAGAGACAAAAGAAGGAGCTCAGATTAGTAAGACCTATCTATGGTGTCCTCCAACTACCTGCCCACAACTGACCTCCTCTAACAAGACAGAAGTATTTTGAGCAAAAGGAAGGTAATAATTTAATAAGAAATTCAACTGAAATTTCTGCAGTGACAGTTAACAAAGTCATTATGAACACAAATACTGAACAAATTAAAATGCGCATTTGTGTTTACTGTAAAAAAAAAAAGCGCCTTGTTCAAAACGTTGACTGCATGCATAACAGATGAAATGTAAAATATTTTTAATCTTTAAAAATGAGAGTGGAAAGAGAGAGAGCAAAAGATGTATCTCTTAACATACTTCATAAAAAAAGAAAAAGGAAAAAACAAAAAAAACAAATGGCATGTTCACATACGAACGAGTCATTGAAGCACCTGTTTTTGGAGGTGTCCTGTTCTGCATCAGCTTATTATCAAAAATATAACCAACAAGCAAGTTCCTGTCTCTTTAAAGAGTCCTTTTATTTAACACATTTTCATTGAAGATCAGACTTTCATGAAGCTCTTTCCATTCCAGATTTAAACAGATAATTATAATTATTTATATAAAAGCGTGTACAAGAAGATGTAGATATTTTTAGAGAACCAAATAACAATACAACTACAAACATACACACTTACAATCCCTCTGTCACCTATTCGTGCCATTGGAACTTTGTACAAGCCAATTGCTGAGAAAGAGAAGAACAGTACATTTTAAAAACACATGATATACTTATACACATCATGTCTGCACATAATACACAAAGTAAAATTATTAAAATTTCCAGTTCAATAAGATTTCAGAATTACACATTGGCTTGAACCATTTTAAAATATTCTGAGCAAACAATTCATATTGTACGCATACAAAGTCTTGTACAACATAAACAATTTTTCTCTACTCTGCCTTATAATCACCAATGAAACCAAGATAAAGACAGGCGTTCCCCCTCCCCCACTATTTCTTCCTTTCTTTCTTTCTCCATCTCTCAGATACATTATAATGATAGAATAAGATAGCATTTTTAAAAGCGCAAATCCCTGCTCAACAGCAAGCTCTACGCACTTCTCAATCTATACTATTACCCAAGCAGGCTTGAGAGCATTCTGAAACAACCTCAACTTCCTGGGAAGCATACAGTGCAAGCAGCCATTTATAGGCGCTAAAACACTAACATACCGACAAGATACATCTTCTCTCCTTTTTCCTGTTCCCTTTCTTTCTCTCTACAAGACTTCATATCCACTGCTCAGAGTAAGTCTCAGTCATGTCACTTTTCAAATGATGTATGGCAGAGTCTTTCATTAACCCTTTAAGCCCTTACCTCCTGTACCCAGGTGGCCCGTAAAACTGCCCGTATGCGTAGTCACCAGTACAGCGGTGATCGAGACCCTATCCCCAAACCAGCTCGTCTAGGACAAATCGCGAACGAGAAACCATTTTTATTTCACAAGACGTTACTGATTATTTTGAAGATCTTTCTGAAATGCTAGTAATGACGAGGACTACCATGAGTGGGAAATGGAATGTGATTCTGACAATCACATAACGTTAGTAATATGTCGCTCAAGAGCTCAAGCAGAGAGGTACGGTAGCATCAGGAGGTCAGGGCTCAAAGGATATGTGCTTATCATGATATTAGGAGTACACTCTCACTCTCTATCCACTGCTGGGGGGGACACCTAAGTAGGGGGACAGAGTGAAGAGTCCAGCTGTCTAAAGAAAAATCTCATTACTGCACTCTGAAAGAGTCCGTGAAAAAGTACCAGAACTCCACATTTTCATCTTTCAAAAAAACAGTCATGGCATCATGGAAATATAGAAAACCCATAACTCATTGGACCTCAGATTTCTAGTAAGATGAAAGGCAGACCGAACTGAAAAGGGTAAAAACTTACTTAATTTTTAAAAATGTGAGAAACTCAGCTTCACAAATGCATCAGTAATTTAGAAAAAGACCACCTTGATCTTGGATCTTGAATGTCAATTGGAAATGCGTGCCGAACTACACCAATCCACTCATTCTTGAAATAAATGAGGATTAAAAAAAACACGGAAAAGACCCAAAAAAGGAGCAAATCACATCTGAAATGCCACCAACAACCCTCTGGTCTTTACAAACCAGAGAATTATGAGACACAATTTGTGTCTCATTATTCCCTGGATGAGGGGATGGTTGGTGGCATTAACATGGAAATCAACACTCACATTCTTTGTGCAAAAAGACCAGCATGTTGGATTCCCTACTGTGTTCTTGGCCCTGCTGATCTGCATACAAAAACTGCACTTTGATAAAGGAGGATCTGTCAATGTTGAGGGAGTACACAATTTTCTCCACTGACTGAAGCTCAGCGAGATAGGCCTGGTACACATCTGAGGAAAAGGACACATTTAAACCACAATAATGTTGGTGAAAAATATGTGTTTTGTATTCGATAAGATTTCTCTCTGTGTTATGAAGAAGAACCCTCAGTGCTATTAAAAATTAAGCATACTTTCAACTTTTGTTTTAAATGGATATGATCATATGGGGGGCTCAATAGCTCAACATGTATAGTGTTTGCCCATTAACCGTGAGGTCTGTAGTTCAAACCCTGCCAGCATCCGGGGGGGGGGGGGGGGGGGTGTCTCATGTTTTCTACCCCTCCTAATTTTATGGCAGGTAGGATCGAGCGTCTAGTTTTCTTGGATAAGAGCAAACAAATTTTGGACGTCACATGTTGAGATTCAGCACAGTCAAGACTCATTGGAAGTTTTAAAAATAGGAAAGAAAAGGTCCTCGGGACCACTGTCCGTACAAAATTCAAAATTAATCGCAATCCAAAATTGAAGCCACTCTAGTCAGTATAACCACTGAGAGTATGTTCAAAAACAACATGTGGCCGCCTGTCAGGCAAGGGATGATTCTATGCTGTATGTATATTAAACAGGGCAAAATCAACTGCACTGTGGGATGAAGATCTTACAGTCAGTTACTCCCTGAGCTCTAGCAGGGGCACGAGAAGAAGGCGATCAAATTGTCTTGGATTAGGGGGGTGGGGGGGGGGGTTGTTATGATGTCAAATGAATTAAATTAATAAAATTAAGAGTGAACATAAACCAATGGTCAATACAAATAAGCTAGGTAAACTAATGATCTCGGAGGAACCTCCTCCATCTGCCCCCTCAAAAATAAGAATAAATTACCAAAACAATGATTTTGTGCAGTACTTTACCTCCATGGGACAATGACACTTGGCACCAACTCTTCTGATTTGAGCAACTGAACTTTGTTAGAGCAAACGAAGTAACATGCACAACTGATTTTTCTTCCTGAAAACATGGCCATCCACATTTCCCCTTTCAAACCAGTCTGAACTTTATCTAGACTAGTGGGCTTTATCTGATGTGCATCCTAAATTTAATTTTAATTTACTATTTCTTATATTATAAATACTTGCATTTATTACAAGAACTTTTCTAAAGTGAGAAGAAAGTATAAACTCCTGTATTACTTATAAAAGTTTGACGGCATTCGTTTGTCTTTGCCAAGTGCAATATCCTACTAGGCTAAAAATATGTTATTTTGAGGGCAAAGATGTTAGTCCCTGGCAGGTGAGAGAGAAGTTCCACCGTTCTGCATGCTGGACAAACTGGTTAATCAACTGCATCATAACAGTTAACAAAACAATGACCCATGGTTAAGATTGAGAGACATAACCGACAATATGAAAAGAATGCAATTTATACCAAATCAAATGTTGAATAAAGAAAGAACAAAGTGTCTTGTGCACTCTGAAAAAATGTTTCCGCTCTGTAAAAAAAGAGCAATTGTGACACAGTTGATACAGTCCAACACGATGCGTTTTATTTTCAATGCTTAATCTGTACAATGCACAATCTGGGTCACAAAAAGAATCAGATGCCTTTACTACCTAATCAAGAGGTTATATCTTTCTTGCTCTTAGCGCAAGACTGTTACATTTTAATATATCAAAAGTGAAAAATTCACTTGGAAGATAGAATATAAGTCAAGTATTGCAATTTTACACAAAATTGAACCTAATTATATTCAAAGATGTCATTCTCGGCAACATTTTAATATTTTTTTAAAAAATGAGAACAGGGGGAAAAAAGATGTTAAGAAATACTGGGAAAACCAAAAAATGGAAAAAGCAATAAATCCAGAATGATATTCAAATAAAATTGCAGGTGTAGGTGTTTTTATGCTCCCATTGACACAGATAAAAATGGTTAGAAAAACAAAAAGAGACATTTTTAAAAATCGAATTTTGTTTCTCAAGAGGCAATAATTCCACCAAGAAAAATTCTTTTCACTTCACTTTCAATCTTATAGGAATGGCCCTCTGGCAGTGACAAACCATAATCTTTCTAAGTCAAATGCCCATAGAGACAATATTTAAATCACTACCAAATTAGGGGGTATTCAAAATACGAGGAAGGATTGGCCAGAGGGTCAAATCAAACCCTTGTCATTTTCCTCTTCCATATTATGAGGTGTGCTCCACACCATCATAAACCAGCTTCACTGACATCAGAAGAATTTCATGGACAAAAAAAAATTAGTTTTACCTCCAAAAAGTCTTGGGGAAATTCCTTTATCAAAGAAACTAAAAGCAAAACATTTTGAAACTGCAAATTAAGAACCAGCGAGCAACCCTTCATTTTGGCATTAGCCCTTCATGAAGTGAAAGTGCAAGAAACTGAATCTGTGTGAAACAGAAAGGAATAAAAGAGGGTGCAGAAAAGGCAGGGTCAGGTTAAATCTGTTACTAATGTGGAAACTTGCACTGACAAACCAAGATTAAAAACATGATATATATTGTATGTCCATCAATTTTGGTGCTACCTCAGTTTTTGTCTCAAAGTGTTATGAACTTACGAAAAAATTACCTTTGAAATGAAACGTTTGGTGTCTATGGTGATCCTTGGAAGCTAAAACATATTCAAATTGAAAGACTAACTATCAAATTTTGTTTACATTAAAGGGAAAAACATCATAAAGACAAACTGCCAGTGGAAAAAAATACAGTATACTGGACCATCGACGTACAAATCCTACATAACTAGGGTCAATGAAAAATCATACTTTAGAACATGATAATTGATATTCTGAATTAGATAAAATAGGAATAGAGGAACAAAAAACGGAATCTGCATGTACTGTAGAAAAGATCAAAATGGCAGGGATATCATACAAAGTGAAAAAAATAAAAGATAAATATGATAACAACAAAGAAAATTTTTTTTTTAAATATAACAAAAATTGAAACAGAAAAATTTATGGATGACCAAAAATATGAAAGCACTTCAATTTGTTGTCATATAATATATAAAAAGATTTTTAAGCAAAAAGGAAAATAAGTGGACACTGATTTTAACAAATGACTAAGACATAACGAACAAGCTGAATATAAAACTGAAGGGGAAAAAAACAAATAATGGCACAGGAAGTTACTGTAAAAGAGTATTCTTTCGCGAGGAACTTTTTTCGCTAAAAAATGATTTTTGAAATTTGAAAGAGGATAATTTCACAGCCTGGACAAAGAAATTTTGGCGAATGGACACCAGGGTAGAAAAAGTGACTCGTTAAAAATACCCTTCCACAGTTAAGTATTGTGTTTAAAAAAACAGTGGCTTTTGTGTAGTCAAATGATCATGGTGTAGTACAGTATCAGTACTTGAGCTCATGTGACCCTCAGAATATTACTGAAAGTAGAATGAAGAAGAAAACAACACAAAGATTGCCGGCGAGTTGAGTGATGTATCTCTGCTCACAAGTGACACTCACTAAAAATAGTCGTCAGTGAGTGAGAGATGAATCCCTCGAGTAACCTACAAGCTAGTAACTACTGGTAGCAGTCCTGGATATTACATGGTCACTTTTTGTGGTGCCATGTCTTACTGTACATTAGTCAGCTCCCTAATTCGCAATTTTCACAGGGAGAAAATTTTCATTGTTTTTGTCAGCATCGGCGAAAAGCACAAAATTTTCCTCCTCGTGAAAAAAATACTCTTTTAAAGTATTCACACATATTTGGAGAACAAGCAGTATACAAAAGAAGCATATACATTTCCTATGGACTTCATCAATGTCTTCACTGCATCCATCGTCTTCTAGTTAAAAACAACACAAAAAGAACAAATATAGCAATGTCCAAATTACATAGTTTCTGCACTACAAATATCCTTTTTCTTTGCACTGAGCTATAAACAAGAAACTGTATTCTTTTAGTAAAAGTCAAGTGACAAAAACTAAAGAGCTATGTCCACTTTCCATGTGAAAGGTCATCACAAGGCGATATACACTCTTCACAAGTCCACAATGTAAACAGGATAAATCTGCCTGTTCTTTATTTGGCAGGCTAATACTCCTTGAATTTATCTATTGCAAACACACAATAATCAGGGTTTCCTTCTTAAACACCGTTGGGAAATTTGCATTTGTCACATTCTGCTATGGAAAAGAGAAAGTCAAGTTTGCAGATTTATTGTTGGGACAAATTAAACTAGGTTGATAAAAGTACAAACATAATTCTTCATATCAAAAACAAACAAAAGAACAAAAGAAACATTACTCAAGCACAGATTCACATTACACTACAAAATAAACTGCTCATATGGTCGCTTTTAAGCATGAGGGGGCTATCCCAAAAAATTATGTTTCGAGAAAATCGAAGGTAAAGTTTTTGGACCCATATAAAATCTATCTTTAAAATACAAGGAGGGTTTTCTCTATAATCAAACAATAATATACACACCAATGAAACCAAACTTCTCCTATAGTTAGGGAAATGCCCACTTTTGGTGTAGGTCAAGATTTCTGGAACCCCCCGAAATCTGGGTTAGCCCGCCAGTCCTTAAAAGCGACTATATAGCTCAATAATTAAAAAAAATCAGCAAATCAATACGGTACAAACATTTATATTTGCTAGTCACCAAAAATCTCAACAACGTGAAAGATTACATATTGGCGTAGGGACATAAATACATGAAAAAGCGAAAGGAAAACACAAGTAAATAAATGTTAGTGGTGTACAAAGATGAGAAAAACAATGTTGAAAAATGGAACAGAATGTTTGCTGTCCATTGAATGTACCCAAGAGACAGTCTAGTGCACTCAATATCAAGAGAAGGGCTCATCTGATTACTGCATTGCGCATCACTTATTAGAGATGAGCAGGGGCTCTCGTGATCAAGAGATTACGGTGTTTGCCTCTCATTCAATAGATCCCAGGTTCCAAACCTGACAGCAACAGAAAATTTTCTTCTCTAAAATTTTCTCCTTTCACCTTCTTTCCTGCTTTCTAACCATGTTCTGTAGTCTGCTTTCGTCTCCACTTTCTGCCCCCATCCCCACCCCCCTTTTCCCCTCCTCAGGGCTCCTGACTCTTTCTGTAGCCTTTATATTGCTACTCCTTGACACCCCTGATCTTAGGGTAGGTAAGATCTAACATCTAGTTGTCTTGGATACGGGCGAAAAATCTTGGAGGTCCTGTGTGCCAGTTATGCATGTTAAAGATCCCTTGGAGGTCCGAAATAGACAAGAGTAGACTTCGGCCGTCACTTGGGCAAAATTTAAAAAATAGTTTCCACCAACCTAAAACTATTTAATATGTCCTACATGCTCATATGACCTTAAGCAGTTGCGAGCACCATAAAACACTGACCAAAACAAACAAAAAAGAGATAATCTAATCAGAGCAAAGAAACCAAAATTCCATGACAAACTAATTGCATTTATTTTCGAACATCAAATCTATTTTCTAGAGCACCAAAACCAAATTAACATTTGAGATACATCATCTTCACTGGCATTAGACATAACAAAACAAACAAAGAAATTTACCTTTATGTTTTTTCTCTGAAGAAGACTCTCTTGGTTTGACAATGCTGAAAGCTGTGGGGGAAAAAAATTTTTTGTTGCAATTTGAGCTTTGGCTGAAAATCAAAATTTGGTAAAAAATGAGCAATCCGTCCTCTACCTTCCTACTAAAGTGGATAGAAAAACAACATTTTAAGAACTTGATTGGCATATATGTCATGATGCAGTGGGATCAAGCACTCTTCAATTTTTAGACATATTGAGTTATTGGTATAGTCTTAAAGCCAGTTCATCTGCCTTGTTTTTGATGAAAAATAATAACCATCTACAGTCAAACCTGTGTAAAACGGCCACCCATTGTCAAGGAGAAAAGTGGCCGCATAAGACAGGTGGCCGTCTTAGGCAGGACTGATCAAGATGAAGAAACAAACCATTCCCATCATTCTGAGGCCCCAATCGAAAGTGGCCGCACTGTTGTTGATTTTGTTGTTGTCGTTGTTGTTGTTATTGTTGTTGTTGGTTTGTATTTGTTTGTAAGTTTTATATTTTTGCTGATTTTGGGCAAGAGTGACAATAAAATTAAATGTATCAGACGAGGAAGACTGAGTGCCATGTTAAAACAAACACATGGGTGGCCACCACTCGGAGAACGAGCGACGCTTCTGTCGCAAGTTCATATTGTTACTTTGTTACAGACTGGGTAAACAGTGACCACTCATCTCACTTACGATTTGTGTATGAGTTCCGGGCGGGGCTTATGGGTGTATGGGGGATCACACGCTTACCTCACCAGCAGCTGAAAATTGGTACCTATTGGTCAACAGTGGGAGGGGCCTACGCAGCATGATTGGTTGGAGGGACTACCTAACAACAAAGACAGGTGATTGAATTATGATAAAACGTAATGGAGTCACTAAGGTGGCCGTCTAAGACAGGTGTTATTGCTTAGTGTGATAGGAGTTGTGTTTTAAAATATGGTGGCCACGGCCGCGTTGGACAGTTGCCTGTTTTACACAGTTAAATTATATAGAAAAAACGCAAGGGGGGAAATGAAAAGTGGCCGTTTGTACAGGTGGCCGTCTTGTAGAAGTGGCCGTCAGGGCAGGTTCGACTGTATCTTGAACAGAAGTCAATAAGACATTTGCAATTAAAGGAGGAATGGATCATCCGGTGTCAGAGGTAAAATTAGCTAGGAAATAGCTGGTAAAGTTAGGTGACTGCTAAAGCTGTAGTGTCCTTAGAAACTGACAAATTCACACTTTTTGAGCCCTTCATCAACGTGTTTCAGTAAAATACATGAAGGAATGTTTTTAATGGACGTATATATATATAGGAGTTCAGTGCAAAAACAAAAAATGTAATAGAAATTGGCTAACAGACAGAAAAATACTGGCTTTTTTTCGATTTCATTATTTTGACAAGAGCCTGATGTCACCATTATTCCACTAATAACTCATATAATTTAGAAAAAAAATGAATTTAATTGAATTTGACTACAGGAGAGACAGAACTGGAAAACTGACATGTACATAAGAACATACATACCAAGAAGAGTTTGTTCTTTATTCATGGAGCAAGACACCACCTTGACTTTCTTATCATATGTGTATATAACCTGAAAGCATAAACAAAAACACAACATGCATGAACCAAAACAAAATCAGAATCCTACATGATCCAGAAAAGATAATTAACCACTGAACAAAGCTCGGCTTCAAAGACAACACTACAATAACAATTACAATATTTTCATTTAAAGTCAATGCCATCTTCAAACTGGACATGAGAACTCAATGGGGAATAAACTGATGAATGAGCAATGAAGTGCATTTGAATACTCAATTCTGTTGTTAACGTAGAAGTTCTACGAATGCCACATACAGAGTCAATTAAGTTTTTAAGGCATGGAAAAGTATTAATTATATGGCACTTAGAAAAATATCCAGCTCACCGTGACAGCCCTTCAGAAATCCTCTCTCATCATGAGACGTCATTCTTCCCTTCACACTTTTTATCTTTAAAATCCTTAAAGCAAGCAGACTTTGAAAGAATCATACAAATTTATGCTCACCATATGTTTCTGTGTGTCTGGTTCGTATATACCAAAGTTTGTAACATAAGACGCTGGCTGAAAAAGAGACAATATAGGTTATACAGAACAGAAATTTTCATGATTGTTTGAAAGATAATACTACTACTGATAATGATAACAATAATAATAATAATATAAATAATAGTAATAATATAATAATAATAATAATAATTAATAATAATAATAATAAAATAATAATAATAATAAATAGCATTCGTATAGTGCGAAGTCCACCTAAACAGTATGCTCTTCATGCTTTATGCTTTACAATCTATATTATTACCCCATCAGACCTGATAGCATTCTGAAATAATCTCCTCAACTTCATGGGAAGCAGCATACAGTGCAGGCTGCAATTTTACAGGCATCAAAACACTAAGAAACTGACAAAATCTTTCAATATCCATGGCCTGTTATCCATTAACACCTGGATAAGTGAGGAAAATTTTGAGTAAACAGCCTTTCCCAATGGCTGACACGAAGCTCAAACTTTGGAGCCCACAACTTCACAATTGGTCACTTTTAAGCACAAGGGGGCTATCCCGAAAAATGCTGTTTTGAGAAAATTGCAGGTTAAGTTTTTGCCCCTTGTTCAGTTTCATTAAAAGACAAGGAGATTTTTCTCTATAACCAAACAAATATACACACCAATGAAACCAAACTTTTCCTATAGGTAGGGCAATGCTCATTTTTTGGTGTAGGTGAAGATTTCTGGAAACCCTCGAAATCTGGGTTAGCCCGTTTGTCCAATTATGAGTCCAGTGGCCTAACCCACGACTGCCCCCCGACAATACTTTTTTAGAAACTTAGCAAGACATAACCAACTGCCCAGGAATCTGTGAAGTAAAAAGTACTTCAGAACTGCTTGCAGAAGACATGGCTTCGATTCCCAAGTGGGGAGGCTTTTTTTTTTTTATAGTACCTCTGTTTATTTGCTGGGATGTTGCATCCTAGTCAGCATATGTTTTCCCTATATTGAGTTGAAAGAACACACAGAGCATGCTGATTGGACTTTAACTATCATGACTCTTATCATGCACACATAGGAGTCATAAAAAAATAAGTATTAATAAAAGGTAGCATTTGGCCTTTTTCAAATACTTTTTATTATATATATAAAGTTCCAAAGTTAAAGAATCTTTCAACACAAGATCAACACTATGAAAAATAAGCAGGCTCTAAGTCTAACCATTTCTCTCTGACAGCCTGATTTATGACAGGAGAATAAAAGATTGGAAGGAATTTTAGACAGAAACAGTGATAAGAACATGATTACCTTTTCTTTGTCAACATCATTCCAGACAAAAATAATAGCTCCGCCTTTCTCTTGATTGATAATCCGAGGAGTTATGACAAGAGACTCTGGTGGAGATAAAAGGAACCGTTGTTTTACATTGTAGAAAGTGATGCAAACACTGTCCAAAATGACTATCCATTGTTGAAGATAAAAAAAGGTAATCTCACACAAGTGATTCTCTTGAACAGTGAAATTATAAAACGGATAAAAAGGAAGGAAGAAAGTGATTTGTGTTTGTTGGTACAGGTGGTTGTCTTGAACAGGTGGTTGTACAGCAGGTCCAACTGTATAAAATTGAGCCTGTGACAGAACCTGAGTAACTTCCCAAGTAGGTTGCCTCAAGTAATGCAAAAAAATGCTGAAAGTTATGTATGTGTACCTATTATAAAAGTGACAATATGTGACTGAAGTCAGGGGAACACTTTTCTTTTTCTTTTTATGTTTCGAAGGGGACAGAAAAATTAAAGCGCTGAACTGACTAAAAATCGTCTGTAAGAGCTATATTTTCTTTATCCGCTAACAGGAAGTCAACTCTATTTAATAAAAAAACATGGATCGGCCGAGAATTTCGTGTCTGTTACATTACTGGATTGGAATTGATAGCGAGCCACTCGAGCCGTACTTTGCTGCTCTCGGTCCAGCAAGGCCACGTCCACGAACCGCAAAATGCAGCTCGAGGGAGGAAAAGTGTTTATCTTGTCCTGAACCACTCAAACCACAGGTCTGAAAAAAAGAAATGAAGCAGGCTTTTTGTGCAACAGCAACATTGGAAAAGAAAGCCTTTTGATATCAGTATTTATCAGGCACCTCAGGAGGGATCTGAGGCCGAAGTGGTTCTGAGAAATAAGGCGACAAGACCCCTCTATTATTCTCTGGCCAGCCTTTACCCCCAGAACAAGTAGTTTTTCATACTCATGATCAGGAGCCTTAGACAAACATGTAGAACATCTATTTTGAATCTAAAATCAAAACGATGGGAATAGACACAAAAAGAGGTACAGTGCATTTTATGTGCGAAAATTATTAGACTCAATCATGTACAACAACAATTTATAACACGTATTATTACTTTCATTTGTAGCACATTTTCAGACTCAATGTACAACAACAACACGTTAATTGAATAGACACTTCAAATATTGGTGCGAGCAGTTGTTGTTCATCAGCATCACTTTGTGGACCGGACGATCCAGACATCCACACCGAATACATCGAGAACATGTGGATGCGCGCTAAACGAAAATTGTACAGACAGTTCGACACATATCCCCTGATCTCTTCCTATCCTATCTCCATGAATTTGTTTTTCGCAACAGGTTTTGTGACGAGGACATCTTTCTGTGATCTTGTAGTTCCGTTCGTTAAAGTCCACGATCCATTTGTTTACATACAGAGAAGAAACCCAGAAGTCTTGATGACCAAATACTGTTTGAAATAGGCTACACAAAGAGCAGGGATGTAACTCAACTGCAAAACATCAAATTAGAATAAAATTCAGGGGGGGGGGGGCATGCCCCCCTGGAACCCCCCCCCCCCCCCCCCCACCTCCATATTTTTATTAGGTCAGGGGGGCAAGTCCCTCTGAAACCTCCTACTCTTGACTTTAACGAATGAAACTACAAAACCGCCCATCTTTCTTGTCATGCTACGGACTTAGATCTCTAGATCATCCCCTATAAATATGCTACAAACGCAAGTATTAATGCGTTATTGTTGTAAATTGAATCTTATAATGTAAGCACCTAAAATTCACTTTGACCAAAAAAGATGTAACTGACCAACTGTGTAAGTTTTCATTTTTAGAAATTTAAAGACCCACCTGAAATCCCACTGTGTTGACGGTAACTGTAGATGAATTGCGATAAAGATGACAAAAGATCGAATGTTGTGTGTAGTTCAAACATTGTAACTGTCAACAGGTCTGGCCAAACTCTCCCTGTGACTTATTTATGCACCGTTCGAGTTGCTTCTTCTTTTGCACTCCAAATTTTGTCACATAATTGAGACAGCACGTACAGTGCATGCACAATCGTTGGCTACACAGCAGTCGGCAATTGGTGGATCACATGCAGACAGCCTTCCGTGTTTTGATTTAGGAGGTTAAAGGTCATACACATCAGAAACTGAAGTCGGAAATCTTGCTTCCAGTGGCTAACCTTGCCTACAGTTTCAATTTTAGAGACATCTATTCGAAGCTGTGCACACTGGCTTAGTTGAATTTTCAATAGTACTCCTAAATTCTGGTTGCCTGTTATCAACACTAAAACAGTATTGTGAATTTGATTCTTTGATTCCTTCCTCAAGCAAGTTGCGCTTTCGACTTTCGACCGAATTCATAACATCCGGTACTAACATGGCGGCTGTCATAAGCAAAAGGAAGCCTAGGGAACGCTCTTCGGAAAACAAATTTAACACTTGAAAAAAAATAATAATCAGCGTAAAACAAGAACTAGAGTGTAAAAAGTAAGTATATCTACTCTTAACATATTTTCTTTTGGCCGACTTTATGACACTTCCACAGAAAGGTGGAGGAGTCTCTTTGTCTACACACAGGACAGTTTCAGTTAGCAGTAGAATAAGATTTGGATCATCGCTGACGGTGCATGTCCATAGCTGCTCCCCCGCCTCAGGATCCACCTCAAAATCCATCTGTTCAGTAAGAATCTGGTTGGAGATCCGTCGGGGAGAACCAGACAAGCTGATAGATGTTTATATTCCCCTTTGGCTCTCCTTACATGCCTTTCCCTCACTCTCAATTTTTGGGAAGGACTTCAGGCAGTAAGTAACTACTGTAACAAGCGACGGCCCCAACAAACTTACAAACAACACTACAATAAAAAAAGAAGAGACCAAGTACACTAACTTAACCCTAACCCTGCCCCTAACTTAAACCCTAACCCTAACCCTACCCCGAACATAAACTTAAACCTAAACCATAACCCAACCCTTACCCATACCTCTACCCATACCCTTATATCCCTACCAATCTGTTCTACTCTGTCTCATAGTGGTCGCTTGTTACGGAAGTCCTCCCAATTATTGTATGGGAATTGTGATTTTTCTTTTTCTAGATCTATAGCCCTTGTTCCTTTTTATCTACAAACTAAAACAAACTCATGAAACTGCATATCAATTTGATGTTCTTTCTTGTTGTGTGTATGCGTTAATGTTCATGTTCTGTAACACCAAGTGCTACCATTGTAAACGACCAAGAGATGAATCTCCCCCCCCCCTGCTCAGCGAATAATAAAAGATTGTCATTGTTTTAACTCTGCTTTAGTGAACACGTTAAGATTGACTTCTGACATTATCCACTATGATCAATAACACAATCACATCTTAGTATCTTAGTGAGACTGCATGGCAAATGATAAATTGTTATTTAATTCACAAAGTTACTGAATTATATAATTCTTTGACTGAATTGTGAATGATAATTTCTGTGGGCAGTGTTGATGTTTTATCTTTGTCGGGCAGTCTTGAGGTTAACATTGATATTGTTAACACTGTCTCAGGAAGAACCCTTAACACTGTATTATTTTGTTTCTTTTAGTAAGAGTTTAATGACACTTGCAGCACGGGTCAGATCATATAAGTAGTGCCAAAGGTTACAGGTGTTAACAAGCTAATAACAGGCACAAAAAAAAAGGAGAAATGAGATGACGAATGTTTGAGTTTGAGAGGAAGGAAGGAAGGAACAAACCACACCAGAGCACCCACCAACCAACGATATGTTAGTTTGTAAAGTATTACTGAGTCGCTCTGTTTTCTCTGGTTCCACAGCTTCAGTACATAGAGTTTTCAGACTTGACAGCTGTTCAGCAAAGGCGCCAAAATGATGTTGCCACAGGAGGAAAGGTAACAATTTGAAATCTCTCTGATAGTTTTCAGAAAATAGTTCATGAACCTGTAAAACTGTTTTCAAAGAAGAAGATGATAATATTATAACAGTATGTTTTAACCCTCTGCGTGGGCATCACGACCCGTGATGACACATACCTCCCTTCTGCGCGCATCGCGACCACTGGTCATGATCCGACATGAGTGTAGAAACTATACCGTTGACATGATAATAGCCATTTTTTAAACTGCTGGTGATTACAGTCCACCAGTGCAACGTTTATTAGTGCCGCTGGCCGCGCATTTCGCAGTCGGGGATCGGTTGGGAGTTTTTTATCGGCAATTCTCAGGGATATTGTTCACAGTTTTCAAAAAGTCGGATTCGTCAGCTGATTTAGACTCAGATTTACCCAATATTTTTCTAGAATCAGACCACAATGATAAAGAGGTAGAAGGATTAGGTCCTCAAATAAAAGATTTAGATCTACGTGTGAATGATGGGGATATCGTGTTGTAGATCTAGATCTAGATCTAACGAGGTTAAGCCCAGAAGGGGACGTCGATATTCCTGCTGATCTCCAAGCAGGCTGGACTAAAAATGATGAGGATTTTGATACCAACAACAACAACAACAACAACATCATTAAAAAAACACATCTGACCAGATATAAAGGTAGTTCATTGTTTAAGACACATTTTTCCTTCTTACTGTAATTAGAAATTATGATAAATAAGAAAGATATATGAGCTTTTTTTATAGCCATGTTGAAAATTAGCATTTTTTAAAAATAAACCTAGCACTGAAAGGAAGTAATGGTAAAAAGGGCTTAGTGCTAAGAGGGTTAATTAGTGACCAACAAGTAGTTGAAGTAGCAATGCCAATTGAGCGAAATTTTGGTCCCCATTTGCAGGTGTATTTTTGGACAGGATCGGAGCTTAGGTGACTAACTTTCTCAAACTCGGTTGGCTCTATTTCTAGACCAATATGAATGAAACTTGGCAACCAATCAGAAAATAGGGCAAACTAATATGTGGACATTGAAAATTGTACACCTAAATTGACCTATATTTTCGGTGTTGGAAACACTTTCATATCAGATATTCCCTAAACTATGATGGAGCTTGATTTTCAATGTCGAGAGGGTAAGAAATCTATCTTTCCACTACAGTGCCTTCAAATTTGAAAGTTCTTTGTCAAGCAGCTATTTAGAATTTATCATAAATGTACCACTACCCCCCCCCCCCCCCCCCCCCACCCCTGTCTAAAGCGGCTTCATATGGAGACCGGCCATTTGTTCCCGCACTCCCTCTGCAAATGTATGTGACCTACAAATCCTTGCATGATTTTTCCGAGCCCGTTCATTGGTCTCCTGAAATAAGGAAATGTCGGGCGTGGGCATCCGGTTGTTTTTCTCTCTGTTCCCCTGCAGTATAACATAATGGGGGTGATCGCGTCTCAACTGAAAAAAAGAAAGCTATTTAATTGTACGGCATGTAAGATTGAATTAAATTACATTTTATGGTTGGCATGGGCTCAAGTCATCAAAGAAGGTTTGCCATTATTTAGTCACACTGCCAACATTTTCTTAAAGATTTCATGATGTGATAATAAAATGCTCTGATCCCAGCACCCCTCTTTCTCAAAATCGAAATACGTACACAAAATTTTTAATTATAACAAAATTACAAGAAAATTATTAGTAAATCTGACTACATAAATGGTTTCTCCACCCAAAAACACATTGAGTAGCCAAGATTCATTTCCACATTGAAGGAAAATTATATTACATTCCTAAATTTAAAACTCAACTCATTGATACAATACAAAGGTTTCATTGTTTGTCAGATTTCCACGCACAGAACACAAGTGTACACAGTATGTAAGGCAACACCGATTACTACCTGCCCATCCTTCTTTCAAGCATATACACAGAATCTCCAACCCAAACAACATCATCACAGTAACATGGCATAATTAGATAAAGCAAAAACCACAGAGCTGCATAGAAGATGAGGGGGTTGCCTATTTTATGCCTTGGTTTGGAGCTGCATGGGTGTGAAATTTTGTGTCAAGTTGTGCTTAGGCTTATGTCACACAGTACTTCTAGCCCAGGATAGGGAAAGGAGAGAAAGAGTTTGTTCGTGGTCTATACCCTGATGCAGGGTGAAAAAGAAACTGATGATGATGATGACGATGACTTATGTTCTTTCTGTTTTTTTTAATTAGGCGCACAGGTGTTGTGTACGACAGCCGTCTCTCCTCGCACTTCAGTGCTTGGAATAAAGACTTCACAGAAAAGCCGCAAAGAAATACCAAGTGTATCGAAAGATGTACCGAACTTGGCCTTCTGAAAAGATGCCTTCACGTCCCTGTGAGTTGGAAGATTGTTTTATATTTTCTTGAATATAGTTACATATTAATGTCATACTGGACACATTGTTAGCTGTTTCAGTCGTGGAGCCCTTGACCTCCCTTTTAGAAACTTGGACTGAAAGGAAATATTCCTGTAAAACAAAACAAAATTGTAGGATCCCTACCTGGTACTCCTTTAAGTCGGTCAAGTTTCTTAATGCACTGGGCTGCATAGGCTGGCTTTATGCTTGATATTGTTAAAACATTTGTGAGGTATGCTGACAAAATGAGTTACTTCTTGCGATCCAAGAGCAGAGATATCAGCTGAGGTCTAGATTTATAGATTTTCAATTGTTGCCATTTTTTTCAAGTCTACTGTGTCTTTTATTATTGCATATTTACAAATTATACACACTACACCTAAAAAGTTTATGTATCAATTTCCATAAGGCTAAAATCCGAGAAGTAACTCATTTAATTTTATCAGCACACCTCACATTTGCATATATTATTTTATGTGGTGATTGCTTATCTTCATCTATAGTTGGTACTACCTACTCTCGCGTGTGATGTTATTGTCAGTGTGCCATATTTACTTGATGAAATCTAGTGTACTTTTTTCTGTTCGTTTTTCATCCGCGACTGGAAATACAATTTCATTTTATGGTTTGTAATCTGTTCACTCTTCAACAGAAGTGAAAATAGTTTATGAAGGACTATTATTATGCTGGTGGTTCAAAAAGGTTTGATGCGGTTGAAATAAATTTCATGTTTGTAAATACATTTTTGTGCAGGTGCGTGAGGCCACTGAGGCTGAGATGATGTTGTGTCACACACGTCAACATATAGAACTGCTGAGAATGACAGAGTCCATGAATGGGGAGGAGCTGAAAGCTATTTCCCAGAAATATGATTTTATTTATTTTCATCAAGTGAGTGTGACATAAAGAATTTATTTGACACCAAATAAGTAGTTTGAGTTGGGTTGGGTTTTTTTGTGTTTTTTTTGGGGGGGGTCCACCATTTAGCAGGGGCATTCAATGTGACACATACATGTTGAACAGTGAGAGTGACTCAATTTCTGTTCAACCAGATGAACCCTGACCTCCTGAGCCCAAAATAATCTGCCTCCTGAGAAAAAAACATGGCTACACACACCATGAACGCCGCATACCTTTTTCATTCGAACCACTTCTCTCTTCCCCTGTACAATAGTTACCATGAACTGACAAGTTTTTTTCACATCATTTTTCCCCTTTTTGTCCTTGTGCAGACTAGCACACACCGATATAGGGGCAAATAACTCGCACACCAATATATCAGGGTCACGGATTCATTGAGTGAAGAGGGATTAATACTTAACTGTGCCTTTGAGCACTAAAGAACACAGGGGAAGTGTACTTTGAAAACTTAGAACCAAGAATGTAAATAACTTGGCTGTTTGTTTATGCAAAAATGTTAGTTATCTTTTTCTGTTTGACTTGACCTGCAAAATCGTTTTCGATGAAACAATAGTTGTGACTTTTTTGTGTTGATGATTCATTTACTCTGACCAGTTGCTTTCATTCACATTCCTCTGCAGAAATCCTTTGAAAATGCAAAGCTGTCACTTGGAGGGGTCATTGATTTGGTTGATAAAGTTGTTTCTGAGCAAGTAAGTGTACTTTGTTGCTTTGCTGTATGTGAACCATGCTGAGGAAAGAAGTTATACAACATCTCAAATGTTAACCCTATAAACATAGATAAGTCAAATTTATAGGTTGTGTTTATTCAATTTATTAGTATGAAAGGATTAAAGATATTAAAAACTTTAAGAAAATGGCATCAGTTGAAAATCTACTAATTTGTTTTTGGGTTTTATTTTTGGCAGATATCTCCTTTCGTGGATTGCGAGGGGTAACTCATTTTGTCAGGTCGCCTATCATATTGTTTGCATTTTAATCCGAAATACTCATGATTTGATTTTTATCACTTCATAAAGGACTTTTACTCCATTTTATTTCAAGATGTTAATTCCACTGGATAATTTTGTATGAATACTTGTATATGTTTCAGGTGCGGAATGGGATGGCAATAGTGCGACCCCCTGGCCATCATGCCATGAAAGAGGAGTACTGCGGCTATTGCTATCTGAGCAATGCAGCCATCGCTGCAAAAAGTGCACTGGAGAAGTACAATTTGAAAAGGTAATGCCTAGTTCGGAAAGTGCCTCCCCTTTACCTTGGTGGTTCCCGAATATTGTCGTCACACTTCTACTCCCTTCATTCTCTGCTTTACAAGGTACACTTAAATTATGCTTCAGCATACCCACATACTCCTGTAGATCAAAGAAATCTCATCAGAACCAGGAAGATTGCTCGATAAGGATAGATATGTTTGAGTAAGAGTGACTAGGATGAATGCGTGGAGTGGGAAGATCTTATATAAAACTGAAATAGCAAACGATGGGCTTCAATATAATTTGATAAATGTGAGTTGGAAGAATACATTAAGCGAGAAGATTTGAGTTCACATTGTAGTTCTGTAATAAGTTAGTTGAACTTCTATAAGGGTAGGGTGTGTAAGCAATATCTAACTATAATGTTATTAGTTAATGAAGAAGGACAGGCTATGAGTTTTGGAAGAAGTTGAGCATATTTTGTATTGAAAAGTACTCAATGTTTTTTTGGGGGGAGCGACAGCCTGTACATTTCTTCCACATGCAGCACCAGGCTTTATATCAATGTCTTCCTTCTTTTTCCCCCCTGCTATTTCATGTTCTGAGGTGCTTTCTGCATTTTTACAAGATTTCAGTCGTGTTGAATTCCACATCAAAAGATACCAATATAAGATATTTAACAAAAGATATGTGTAGTATATAAACTAGTTGCTCTTGTATCATTTTACTTGTGTTCACTTTATGAAGTATAATAAGTTGCATGTTTGGGGTCTAATTTTGTCTTATTTGATCCTGGTACCCCCACTGAATGGATAAAAGAGGAAATTGACGTTCAAAGCTTTCTGGTGAAGTGGTTTTTGAGAAAAAGCTCCTGACAGTTTTATCCACTACTTACTAAGAAAGAAAAAGATATGGAATTTGCGGAAATTAACATTCTCTGCTGCCTCCATGTTCCGAGTACTTGTCTTCTCTTTTCTGTAATCTATTGCCATTGATGTCGTACTTTTTAATTGGCGTCGATAGACTAGTGGTTAGGCTACCAGACCTGTTATCATGAGATTGCAGGTTCGGAAGTTCGAGCCTCAGCTCGGTCCAACGTTGTGTCCTTGGAAAAGACACTTTACAAGAATTTCCCATTTAGCTCGGTCCTTGTGGAGATGAAGATTTAACTGGGATGTCTCACCTCTTAAATAACCTAATAGTGTTGATAGGGGAATTAAGCTTATACCATTCCACCATTTTCATATATGTTACTTTTTTTTCTTTTTTAATCTTCTGTAGGATTCTCATCTTGGACTGGGATGTGCATCATGGTCAGGGGACGCAATTTGCCTTCTATGATGACCCAAGGTAGGTGTCTGAACTCCCATCTAATTTTCACAGTCGTTAGTTTGAACACTGTTTCAGGTCGAAATAACAGTTAATGCAAGAAAAGAAAAGTTATAGAGTAAAGATAGTGGTTTATTCATCCTGGTGCTTTGTCAAAATTTTAAAAATGTTTTTCACGATTTCATAATGATTTTGGTCCACTTTAGTGAGTTTGGTAGATCTAGAATTTTGTCAGAATAAATGGACCTCTCTAAAGTACAGGAGACATTGTCTTGTTCAGTAAGTTATTGCTGCCTGAATAGATTTGAAAAGAAGTGAAAGGCTCATGAGCAGCAGCACTTTTAAACATCATTTGGTAATCCAATGACTATTGTGGAAGTTAAATGATAAAATAATTGTTGAAGTTTTGAAAAATTGAAAATATGTTTTTATTGTAAGAAATTAAATGAAAGAATTAATTAATGTTGAAGTCTAAAATTGGCATTTCAGTTCTCAACACTCTGCTCCTGCCATGTCCTTCTGTCAGTGATGGACTGCAAGACCCTTCGGTCTTTTTCAGTTGATAATGCGAATGTTTGAATGGTAACCAAGAGACGCAAATATTAGTATAAAAGATTGACCTTTATGTTATTTTTACAATGATGTGGAAAATATTTTGGATTGTTACAATAATGTGGGAAATATCTTGGTATTTCCTCAAAATCTACTTTATGAACATTAAATTTGTTGTATGCAAAGGACTGTGAAACAACAAAACAAAAAACTACACCCACCCCCCTCTTTTTTCTTCCAGGGTATTGTTTGTGAGCATCCACCGTTACGAGCTGGGCTCTGAGTGGCCACATCTTCGGGAGTCGGACTATGATTTTATAGGGGAGGGGCCGGGCAAGGGTTACACCATCAATATCCCCCTCAATGAGGTGAGTTGGCGAAATTTTTATTTACTCTTAGCAAACAACCAGCCAGGTCAGCTGGCTCACAGCATCTCTCGGTTGTTTACAGTCATTGCAAAAAAAAAATATATATATACTAAACCTCAACAAATTCATCTTTCTCTCTATAATCAGATTGTATGTTAACTGCTTTGGTCACTCATTTCCACTCAGTCTGGTGCAAATAGATTAAATGGAAGTGAAGTTATAGAGAAGTTTGTGTTGCCGAAAACGTGGATGTTATAATTAGCTGCGTTGAAAAGAGGAATATCCTTCCATATACTAAGAGTCAAGCTATGACAAATTTTTACAAGGTCTAGAACTTGATGCATGTTATTTAATTCTGCTGTCCGAAGGCAGAGGGAAGTGTCTGATTAAATAAAGTATTTTTGATACATTGTTTGATTGGTTTGTTACACTAGTTTTGCCCTTGTCTTTTTTTAATCAAAGGCAAGGCAATGTATAATAATGATAATAATAATGAATGAATTAATATCGCGCCAGAATCCACAAAAAGTGTTTGATGGCACTTACAAAACACACACCCACACACACACGCAAAAGCTGTAAAGCTCAGTACCACTATGACTGACAGATGTTTCAGATGTAGAGTTCCAGCATTATAAATATACTTTCCTGAAAAACATTGTCTTCAACTTTGATTTAAATTGATCAATTGAAAGAGATATTTTAACATCTAAATCCAAATTGTTCTGAAGTTTTGGGGCACAGATGGAAAAGACCCTTTCACCCAACATTGTTCTGGACCTAGGCATGCAGAGCTGATGGTCATTTGAAGATCTTAAATTATGAGATGGTGCATACATTTCCATAAGTTCTGTAAGTTAATTTGGTGAGCACTGATGTAAAGATCTATAAACCATGCACAAAATTTTTAATTCAGTGTATGATAGTTCTCAAAGTGGTAAAGCTACATAAATGCATGGATAGTTTGGTGAATTATCGTTTTGATTTGTGTGCCTGTTGTTGTTTTTTTTCAGACTGGCTGTGGTAACAGTGATTATTTATCTATATTTTTCAACCTGCTTTTACCAGTGTTTTATGAGGTAAGTTGTCATTTCTACAAGTTTCATGACTGGTTGAATGAGTAAGGATTGCAAGTCATGTAATCCATCTATAGCATGTTTTGCATTTTCACTGTTAAAATGTTTTTGCGGAGAAATGTTTGTCACAATGGAATGGTGCATTGTTTTGACTAACGTTCTTAAATCTTAGTATTCCAAATGGATTCCAGTGTCTGAAAGAACTTTTGCCTCAAAAGTGATGTAAAATTCAGAGAATGTTAAAAGAAAAATAATACTTTTTGGTGATCTTGTTTCTAAGATAATGTTTAAGATTTTTAGCTCTTCTTTTCCAAAGGAGTATTTGTTATTGACGAGTTGGGTAAATATAATATGTTTGTTTTTACGAAATGTGACTGAAATATTCAAAATGATTGACATCAATTGAAGTTGTCTACTATTCTAGGTACACAAATAAGAGGAGGCATAAGTCATCATACCTGTTGGACTGACTCTGTATTTTCAAGATCACAAAATTCACTTTTCAATCAATAACCCAGTTATATCTCAGTTCCCTTCAAGAAAATGTTCATCATGACAGACAGTTGTTTTAAAGAATATAACTGCCTATTGTGTTGATTTGTTATGTCATAAGATAATCGACAGTGCAGTTACCTAATGTTAGGTAAGCTGCTGTCTTCATGTATGGAACATGTTTGCTTGTTGATCCTTTGTATGGGGGGGGGGGGGGGGGGTTACTTGTGTTACAATTTGTTTGTATTGGTACGAATCTGAAATGGAGGTTGGTGGTCGGCGGGTGCTCTGGTGTGGTTTGCTTCTTTTTTCCTATCAAACATCTGTCGTTCTTATCTCCTCTTCTTCTTTTTTATGTCTGTTACTCTCTCTAATCTTCTGTCGCTCATATGACCTTATACAGTTGCGAGCGCCGTAAAACCTCTACTAAAACTTTTTTAAAAACTGAAATGGAGGGCTGCAACTGTATGGATGGTTTCCCACATTATTGGGTTTTTTTTTCTTTATTTTTCAGTTTGACCCAGAACTTATTATTGTGTCTGCTGGATTTGACTCAGCCATTGGTTGCCCAGAGGTAACATTTTTATTCAGATTTGTTTTGCCTTTGCCTTGTACAGTATGTCTTTCTCACGGAGATGTTTTTGTTGTGTGTGAATGTAATTGGCTTTTTTAATGTGTATACTCAGCTTGTGTGTGTGTGTGTGTGTATGTATGTGCACGCGCGCGCGTGTGTGTGGGTGTGTGTGTGTGGGTGCGCATGTGTGTAGTGTGTGTGTAAAGTTTCAAAGGAGTATGATGTTGGACGAGGGTTTGTTCTAATGTGCCTGTTTCTTCACATTCACTCCTGTTGTTATTGTGTACATAATATGTATGTGATTTGTTGTTTCTGGTTGTACAATTGAATCTGCTCAAGCATCCACCTGTGTAAGACCCTTACTGGTACAAACAACTACTTCTCACTTTCTCCTTCACTTTTTTTTTTTCATTGGTTGGTTGGAGGGGCCACTGTTAGGTCCTACTTTTGTACTTTCCCTCTGTTATTTCTTGTCTGTCTGTCTGTCTTACTTTTTTCCAGCACTAAATGACCATAATTGTGTCAATGTGCCTCTCTTTACTCAAACAAACAGTCTGTCCCTGTAGTTTTATGCACCACGCATAATTTAGCAAAATTTGATCATTTTTTACATAATTTCTGATTATTTTCCTTTATCATTCTTTGTTAAAAATTAACAGAATCGCATAATTTCACATTTTTGGGCACAGTTTGCTTAATTTCAAAATTTTTCTTGCATAAAATGACGGGATGGAACAATAGTTTTAGTTTTATTTTAATGATACTGTCCAAGCAGATGACCTATCTAAAATAACTGTTTTTCTCTTCAATCATGGGTGGTTGTCTGGACAGGTGTGATTGTATATGTTCATTCAGGTGCATATGTGAACTGTCTATGGGCATGCTAGTGTATTTCAGTATCTGTACATTCATATGTGTGTGTAAGTGTGATGGTGAAATTACTGAAGGTATAGATATGTAATTAATTAGAGCTAGACGAAGGATATGTTGTTTGTCCTTGATGGAGTAGTTCCCAGCCAGTTTTTGTATTGTTGTTGTAAAACGAGTAACCTTTGAGTAGTGCTCTGATGTGGTGTGCTCTTTCTTTCCTATCATACATTTATCATCTTTATCTCTCCTCCTTCTTTTTTGTGTTTTTTTACTGTCTTGTATCCCCTCAAATCTTCAGCCTGACTTATATGACCTGATCGTGTTGCAAGTGCCATAAAACTCTTACTTAATATATAAAAAAAAAAAAGAAAAAAAGGTGCCAACTGTTGTATTCATGTCTGTATGCTTCCCAGGAAGTTAAGATTGTTTCAGAATGCTATCAACATCTGCTGGGGTAATAATATAGATTGTGAAGCGCTCACAGCTTGCTGTTAAGTGGGAGTTTATGTTAAAAAAATCGTCGCTTCCGAACAACTTTGTCCAAATTTATACTTCAGTATAGAGTTTGTAAAGAATAGTTCTAAGGCGACGAAATGCTATTTATTATTATCATTATTTTTATTGCTATTATTGTTCTTCTTCTTCTTATTATTCTATTCATGTCTGTTGTTTCTCACAGGGAGAGATGCTTGTCACACCTGCCTGTTTCGCACATTTCGTGAATCTGCTGACACCCCTGGCTTCAGGGAAACTTGCACTTTTATTAGAGGTAAGTCTCCCAACAAAATATTTTGTCTTCTTTCCTGGCACACAGTCATCTATCTTCCCGTTCCCTCCTTCTTTTTCGTGTTTGTTACTCTTCTTGTAACACCTCTAATCTTCGGCACTTATATGACCTTATTGTGGTGCAAGTGGCGTAAAACTTTTGCTTGAACTAAAATGACATTTGTGGGGATATATTACCTGTGTAACTTTTGAACCTTTCGAGTGGGTGGTTGGCGGGTGCTCTGGTGTGGTTTGCTCCTTCTTTCCTATCAAACATCTATCGTCCTTTTCTCTCCTCCTTTTTTGTGTATGTTACTCTCTTGTAACACGTCTATTCTTCGGCACTTATATGACCTTATTGTGTTGCAAGTGCCGTAAAATGCTTACTAAAACTAAAACTGAACCTTTCGAGAGTTGCATCATAAATGTTTCCACGTTGTTGATGAAGTGATAACGTGATAATTGATATTTGATTTATGGCAAATTTTCTGTCAAAATTATCGTCATTTTTCCTCTACTTCTTTTGTATGTTTGTCACACTCTTGTGACCCGCTATTTACCCTTGATAGTCGAAGCAGACTTTATGCTGTTGAAGGTAGAGAGGTGAGCACAGTAAGCTTGATTCCCTGTAAAGACTACTCTGTTGACATCCACCCCTTGGCACTCATATGACCTTATGCAGTTGCGAGGGCCGTAAAAACTCTACTAAACTTCTTCTTTTTTTTCTAACACAAAGACAGAGACATGCTCGTTCTTTTGTGTTTACGGTTATTTTTTATTTTCTTCAGGGAGGATATAATCTCAAGTCTCTAGCTGAATCGACTGCCTTGTGTGTGAGGGCTCTGCTCGGTGATCCCACACCGAACATTGCACCGTTGTCTGCACCAAAGCCCAGGTAAAATAAAATGGTGAAATAGTATAGGTTTAACGCCCCTATCAACACTGTTAGGTTATTTAAGAGGCGGGACCTCCGAGTTTGACATGCATCTCCGAAAGGACCGAGACAAGTAGAAAATTCGTGTAAAATGCCTTTCCCAAGGACACAACGTCAGACCGCGCTGAGGCTCGAATCCCCGTTCTCCAGGCTACCAACGCCACAAAGCCCAGGTAGGACGAATGAAGAGACGCTGATCATAAAATGTGATACTCGTCGTGTCGAGTTGAAAGAAGCTCTTGTTCATTAGCATTTTATTTTTCTTACACTCTTTTATAAAGTGTGAATTACTTGATGGAGTAGATTGTGCTGCTTTATTTCAAATGTTGCTCGCTAATATTAAATAAAAGGTTGAGAGCGTCCGAGAAAGATGTAGTGTGAGCTTCTCATTTTGATTAGCAGTTGTTTGTTAAATTGTTTTGAGTAGTATTTTCAAATTTACGTGAAAACTTTAGGGCAGAAGAGTACTCTGTGATCATAAAACTTTGAAATTTTGCCAAATACTGCTTTTCCTGTAAAAAAAATGGTCACTTCAATTCTTAAAAGCTTGGATTAGTCTGTTTTATGACGGATTTCTTGGTGGGGTATTTACACAATTTTATTTGCTCCAATTTTCTTCCATTATTTGCGAATACAAAGAAAAAGGAGAGATAAAGATAATCGATGTTTGATTGGAAAAACACAAGAGCAACCACCAACCACCCACCCTGTAATGTTTTCAGTGTGCAGGATGGCAAATAATGAGAAAGTAACCCCTCTTATTGCTGCTTCTGTCTCCAGTGTTGTCGAGTCTGTGCTGAACTGTATCAAAATTCTACACCCCTATTGGCACTGCCTGGAATATCAAGATGTAGTGGAGTCGCACTTGATCAAAACAGAGGCTTACCCATTCAAGCAAGTCTTGAATCTTCCACCTGTGTAAGTCCCCAATGTCAAGAGAATTGTACAAAATCCTTTATGAAACTCACAGTATGCACTTTGTGATTTTTGTTGATATTAAAAAATTTATCTATGTCTTTCTTTTTTAGATGTAAGTGTTTTTACGTCCCCATCAACACTATTTAGCTCATTAGATTTAGGAGGCGGGGCTTGCCTGTCAAAACCAACCCGGCTGAAAAGGGTACAACATCCCACCACAAAGACCGAGATACTGGATAAAAATGTTCCCCACTCGAAAATCAAACTCGGGTCCCCTGATTGCAAGAGCGAAGCGCCTAACCACTGCACTACAGACGCCAGTTCTTATTCTGTGGTCATACAATGACAATCTTTATTCGTCTCACAGGGGGAAATTTGTCTTGGTCGTTTGCAATGGCAGTGAATGCTACAAAGGTTAGGTGTACTCAGGCATACACGTAGGACAGGACAAATAGTTAATTAATATTCCGAGCGCTGCCATGCACCTCCATGATGGAATGACACGCGGTCCAAACAGAAACAGTAAAAGAGCTCCAAAAAAGCAAAGACGATGTAAACTCTACTATGTAGAGTCAAACCTGTCCAAGATAACCACTCATTTTTAAAGAGAAAAGTGATCATCTTAGACAAGTAGTGTACAATGTCGATGTTATTTTTTTTGTTTTAATGCAAAGGAGGAAGTGAGATGTGGTCATTTGGACAGGTGGTCGTTAGGGCAGGTTCGACTGTATGTAATATCCATTAATTGACTATGCAATGAGCTAAGGGAGACCTAATATACACGTCTTTGTCTTTTTATGTCATAATGTTTCACATCTAGGTTATATGTTGCAGAGATGAGTGAAAGCACAATATCAGTTTCTTACAAATTGAAAACCAAGAAAGCTTATTTCGTCTTATCTCTGCAGATTGCTCGAGAATCTGAGAATTGTTTGCTCCAAACTTATCATTTCTAATGTGACTCACTATGTGTTTGTTAACTGTATTATCATCATTGTCATGTCAAGGATATTCGGAGAGGCCTCAATGGAAGAGATATAAACCAGACATCTGAATATGTTGTTGAACCTTGCTAAGTCTTGGAAACGTCGAAATGATATGCTCAAAATTGAAATAATTTCCGATTTCTTTCCAGGTTTTTTTTATTTTTTTATTTCACTCAGCATTGGGGCAAAGTGTAGTTTGGCCTTTTCTTTAAAAATTACCTAACTTTTAAATGTACTCCCCCAGGTCCATCTTTTTATTCTACTCTTCGCAAAGTACTCAGAATAATTATTATTAAGTATTTTTGAATATATTTGATTAGTATAAGAAGTGTAATTAGAAGATAATGCTGAGGTTTGCATGGAAATTAAAAGCTGAATAGCTGAGGGGTGGGGATGCTTTTATTTTCCTTTCAGAAACATGAGGTATTTGAGAACAAGTGTAGAATTTCATGGAAATGGTAATTATTATGAATTATGACACATGTGTCAGTGTGAGACATTTTCTAAATTCCACAGTCAGAATATCGAGTTTTACACGTCTGAGACGAGACCACAGACATTTCCTTTGATCCAAGACTGTGCAGATGACAACGCCATTAAACTGCTGGAAGAATACAACCAAGCCATCGATAAACTCATACAGGAGACTGATCTCAGCTTCCCAGCTTCTAAGTAAGTACTCAGGCCAACTGCTCAGTGTAGGACTCCGTCATGTGTCACTTTGCAAAATAGTGTATGCAGGCTTGCCAACCTTCCCAAATTTTTTGGGAAATTCCTGTATTGCCATCGTGACACTTGGTTGCATATAAAGGAGAAATAGCCTTCTGTATAATAAGAGTTAATTAATACGTTTTAAAAACACAACCTATAATAAATCATACTGCTAAAATCTGAGAAATAACTCATTTTCATAGCACGCCTCACTTTTTTTCTTTTTTTTTTTTAAATTAAAATATTTTGTTGATGTTGTCATCCCCCGTACTTCAGGTTCTCTTTGTCATGGGACAAGGCCTCAGATGGAGTAATAGAAAGCCTGACACATTCAGATGTGTGGAAACAGTGCCAGAAGGTGAGATGAGGAATCATTTCGACTGCTCGGTATAAGACTGTGTCATACTGCACTGTTCAAAATGGCATGAGACATTGTTTTACACGAAGCTGTCGATTTGTTTTCTTTTTAAGATTTGATGATGCAGTCAAATCTGCTCTAACAGTCACCTGTACAAATGACAGCTTCTTACTGTTTGTAGTTATTCAGGATCCTGAGACTTCCGGAGATTAAGGATACAAGGAGTAATGAGGAGAAAGTGAAAAATGTTTTCTGTCACCTGTGCTTGTGTGTGCTCTTATGTGTATGTATGATGCAAACAAATCAAGTTTTGCGATGTGAAATTTCTCATGAAATTGTCAATATTGACCTTTTGAACGTCAAAATTGTCAGTATTGACATTTTGAAAGTGCTGAAGATTTGAAGCCTTACAACGTTTGTTTTGTATTTAAGTGATCATGGTTCATGTGCCAATATGTGCTTTGCTTCCACTGAGTGGTGGCACAACAGCTCCTAACTGATTGGTGAAGATTAACTCTTTATCTCCGACCGGCTCGCGAGCAGAACTGGTGAGCTGCTGACAACGGCTCGGGCACGTTCCTTTACAACGACTTCCACATCAAATTACTTTTGAGCAATTGCCGAAAACAGGTCTCTTTTTACCGGAAGTTCATTCATTAGATGAAGAACTATCAAATTGGCTCTCATATGACCTTATGCAGTTGCGAGTGCCGTAAAATCTCTACTAAAACAAACTAAGAACTATCAAAAAAAAGTTTGCTAGTTTTGATTTAACGACCCGTTTAATGACGTTTTTGTCAATTTTAGATTCAGCACCAAAAAAGGGCCCTGGCGTAGTGGGTTTATCCCCCTCGGAGATAAAGAGTTAAATATTTGAATAGCAGTGACATACTCCTGACAGACTGGTCGCAATATAGCTTAACCGCTAGTTTTCCGATGCCAACTGCAATGCTGTATCTGCCTCATGGAATTTAGGTGGTGAAATAGAATGCCTTTGCCAATCAATGGTGATACAGTTGAACCTGTTCTAATAATAAACAATAAATAGCATTTGTACAGTGCATATTCCCGCTGTACAGCAAGCTCCATGCACTTTACACACTATATTATTACCCCAGCTGACCATAGAGCACTCGGAAATATTCTCAGCTTCCTGGGAAGCATACAGTGCAAGCAGCTGATTAAGTGCTCAAACACCAACAAACTGACAAGAATTTTCACAGTCTATAGCTGGGTACCCATTCCCACCTGGGTGAAGTGAGGAAAATTCGTGTAAAGTGCCTTTCCCAAGTACACAACATCGGGCCCCTGAAGGGATTCGAACCCTCGACCTTATGGTTTCTAGTCTGAGAGCCCAACCACAAGGCCGCCTACCCAAGACAATCTCCTGTACAAACAATCACTTTCAACTCTCCCCTTGGGGTTTTTGTTTTGTTTTTGATATTTTTATGATGACACTGTCCAAGAAGACCACCTATCAAAGATGACTGCTTTTTCTCCTCGACAATAGGTGGTCATCTTGCATTGGGCAAATTCACCTGTATTATTATGAAGTCATGCAGATATTCATTTCAGATAAGTTTCAAAACTTGCTCATCACTTCTTTGTCATCGTGTTCCTTTCTCCGCAGGATGTGTCCAGTCCCCAGACTATTTATGCAGAAAGTGTACATGCTGCCATAGATTCTATTTTGTTGTCAAAGGTGATTATCTTTCTATTTGCGTTTATTCAAGTAGCGTAGGTGATATAAGCTCACTGTATGCTTTTCTCAACGAGTATTGTCTATCTGTACTTATATGTGAGGCAGCGTGGTGAAAACGGGCGCTCATCAAAATAATGAGTTAAAAGAACCGGCATTTTTCTGGCTGTTGGGTAATGGTTTTTTTAATTTTCTTTCTTGCGTCAACACCTCTCTAGTCCCAATCCAGCCTGAACCTGATACAACTCACCTTTTGTGGGTGGTTGGCGGATGCTCTGGTGTGGTTTGCTATTACTCTCCTATCAAACATCTATCGTCCTTATCTCTCCTCCTTCTTTTTTTGTGTTTATTACTCTCTTGTAACACCTAATTTTCGACAACTAAATGACCTAATGGTGTTGCAAGAGCCGTAATCTGTCCTCCTTCTTTTTTGTGTTTATTTCTCTCATGATGGGTGGTTGATGGGTGCTCTGATGTGATTTGCTCCTTCTTTCCTATGAAACATCTATTGTCCTTATCTCTCCTGCTTCTTTTTTGTGTATATTACTCTCTTGTAACACATCTATTGTGTTGCAAGTGCTGTAAAACTCTTCCAAAACTTGCTGTCTTGTAAGTCCTCTAATCTTCAGCACTTTTATGACCTAATGGTGTTGTTGAAAGAGCCATAAAACTCTACTAGCTGAAACAAATTGAATTCCCTCACCTCCTTTTTACTGTTGTTCCTCCTCTGTGTGTCTCCAGTCCCAATCCAGCCTGTGTCTGGTGAGTCGCCCGGCGCGCCAACACAACGGCACACCCAACGGTGCCGCCTCGCCCACTGCACACTCTGCCCACGGCCTGGCTGCGTCCTACGCTGTGGAGGCGTATCAGCTGAACAGGTGGGTTTAAAACATCTGTTGTTTGCGTGGCTGGTTGACGGGTGCTCTTAAAGTTCTTAAACTCCTAAGTTTCTTTCCTATCAAACATCTATCGTCCTTGTCTCTGGTCCATTTTTTTTTGTGTTTGTGACTCTCTTTTAACACCTAATCTTTTGGCTCTTAAATGACCTAATTGTGGGTGGTTGGCGGGTGCTCTGGTGGGGTTTGCTTCTTCTTTCCTATCAAACATCTGTCGTTCTTAACTCTCCTCCTTTTTTATGTTTGTTACTCTCTTGTAACACCTCAAATCTTCGGCACTTATATGATCTTATTGTGTCGCAAGTGCCGTAAAACTCTTACTAAAACTAAAACTAACTCTGCTCCATTTTTTTTTTTTTTTGAGTGGGTGGATGGAGGGCGCCACTGGTAGGTCCTGCTTCTTCACTTTCCTTCTGTTGTTTTTGTCTGTCTGTCGTACTTTTCCCAGCATTAAATGACCATTATTATGTCGCTGTGCTTCTCTTTAATCAAACAAACCATTATTTTGGTGTTTGTTCCTCTCTTGTAACACCACTTCTAAACTTGGGCGCCTGTATGACCTAATTGTGTTGCAAGTGCCCCTAAAATGCTTACTAAAACAAAAACATCTTTTTGAAGTTGAGTAATGAGACACATTTATTTGTCCAACGCTATCCTCTGCCAGTAAATTTTGTATGTAAGAATGTGTGTGGGTCTGGGAATTTTGTGTGTGTGTGCGTGTGTGTGTGTGTTGTTGTTGTTGCTGTTAAATGGTCTCACAATGTGCTTTTCTGTACTTTGATTCGTCGGTTAAATTGAGTGATGTTTCTGTTTTGCACAGCGCTTAGAGCCTTCTTGGGATTGGGTGCTTTATATTCCCATTATTGTTGTTGTTGTTGTTGTTGTTATTATTATTAACATTGACACAGGAGTTGTTATTTTAGTCCTTGGAAAGAACAATAATAATAATAATAATAAATGAATTTATAATGCGCCAGAATCCACAAAACGTGCTTGGTGACACTTACAAAACACACACACACACACAAGGCTGATAAATAGGCAGAACAAAAATGACAGAGGAAGAAAGAAGAAGCAGGACAAATCAGTTGTACCTCCAACCACCTCCAGAATTTTATGTGTTGTTTTTCAAATTTAGAAATGTAACATTCTTGGGGGGGAGAGGGGGGGGGGAGGAGGGTTCATGGCTCTGCTGTGTCGATGTTTTTTTATTTTTGTTTTGGGGGGGGGGGGGGGGGGGATACGTTGATTTTATAGTTTCAGCTTCTTTTCCTTTCTGCTTAAGATCTGATGTCACAAGTTTTTCCTTGGAATTGTCATGTACCTCTGGTTTTTTCTACAGGGTTTTAATCATTCAGATGGGGTCAGGTCCTGATGTTCACATCCCCACTAGTCCCAGGTGAGTACATTTATTTTTTTGCTTTTGACTTTGATGCTTAGGGAAAGAAGAACCTAAACTGCATAGAAAACATTTTTAAATTGAGGTAAAATTTATTTACAAGTACAGTCAAACCTGCGTTAGTAGCCACCTGTCCAAGATAATTACCTGTACCTCGTTTGTCTATTCAGGTGTCCCAAAAACTGCATTTTTCTTTTTCCTATAGTTTTTATCAGCAAGTGTCCCACAAGGGCTTCATCAAGTACAACCTCATTTGATTTCTTTTCCTTCCACGATATTCTCAGCGGTTTCCTGAGAAACCACATTTCGGTTGCTTGTATTTTATTTTCAGTTTTCATTGTCTTTGGTACACTATATACAATATAATGGATAGCTCAAATTCGTCACGACTGGCCTTAGTAGTCGAGGGATTCTTAGTTCGAGGGATATCTTACAAAGATAAAGAAGGAAAAAAAAAACGGGACCGCAGGCACAGTTCGACAGATGGGTGATTTTGAGCCTTCTGTTTTCGACATATCCGTGTTAAACGGCTTATGCAATTATTATAATTATTATTATGAGTGTGTTTCTATGTGTTCTGTTTCTCCCCAGTGTTCTTTCTATAGTCCTCTCCCTGTCCAGTGATGGCTCTGACAGTGCTCGTGCCTCGTTGGGAGAATCTTTTGTCTCCCTGCCATTGAAAGGAGTAAGTAAGGGGTATCACAAGTATCGTTGTTTGAATATATTTCCGTGAAAGTTGGTGGAGAGATATTGAATGTCCACTGCTCTGTTTTCATTTTGTTTTGTTATCTTTGGCAGTAAATTTTTCTTTTTCTTTTTATATTATCTCTCTCTCTGTTTCTCTCTCTTCTCTTCTCTCTCTCTCTCTCTCTCTCTCTCTCTCTCTCTCTCTCTCTCTCTCTCTCTCTCTCTCTCTCTCTCTCACACACACACTCACAAATACAGGCACACATACACGCGTGCAAACACACACATACACATACACATACACACACATATACACCTCGCATTCATATGTACACATTACACTCTCTCCCTCTCTTAGTTTCAAACATGTTCACAAGCGAAGTGCCATGTTAATCCTTTGTTAGTAATGTTAGTAGAAATATGAAGAATTTCATTGTTTTCCTTTCCTTTTCAATGACTTATTTCTGAATATTGATCTTTCCCAGGACTCCCTGAACGATGTTGACTACATATCAGCTTTTCAGCAAATAGTCCTGCCATTGGCTTATGAAGTAAGCAAAATTTGTTTACAAGATTGTCAACGCTTCTTTTAATTTAAGTATTTACTTTGTGGATTTTCAGTGGGTTTTTATTTTCCCGATATTGAATGAAAGCATCTGTATATATACTAAAAGAATTTAAAACATCTCCAACATATTTAAGGTCACAGATAATAAAATACATGTCTCTGATTGCAAAAGTGACAAGTACTTTAAGAAAAATGATGCCTGGTAGGAAAGTTAATCGTAGCTAAGAATGGATTGTTGATATCTATTACCCGTCTTGAAGCTTGATGGGTTTTTTCTTATAGTTTGGATTCTTCCTTCTTTTATTGACCTCCGCATTAATGCCAGAGCAAATAGTTTATCTCATAGATTCTGGTCTTGTCTTTGGCTGAGAATTTTTAGTTTCCTGTTTCTTCTGCTGTCGTTCGTAAGCAAAGCGCATCTTTTGCTGTAAAGGAGTATATAGTTTGGGGCGTCGGTGGCCTAGTGGTTAGGCTCCTGGACTCTCAGCCGTAAGGTCGTGGGTTTGAATCCTGTCAGGGGCCCGACATTGTGTCCTTGGGAAAGGCACTTTACACGAATATACCTCTCTTCACACAGGTGAGAATGGTTATCCAGGTATAGACAGTGAAAGTGTTGATACTGTTTGAGCGCTTAATCGGCTGCTTGCGCTGTATGTTTCCAGGGAAGCCGAGAATGTTTCTGAGTGTTATAGGGTCTGCTCGGGTAATAATATAGTGAAAACCGCATAGAGCTTGCTGTCGAACGGGGGTACGCACTATACCAATGCTATTTATTATTATTATTATTTATTAGTTTTTCACCGTCGTCTATCCTCAGTTTGGTCCTACATTGACTGTGTTCTCGTGGCAGTCTTTGGCAGATGGTGTACAGGTAAAAAGATACTCCTTTGTAACGTGCATAGAGCTTGCTGCTGAGTGGGAATTTTGCACTCTGCAAATGGTATCTATTATTATAATTGTTTATGTTTCTGGCATGACAGTTTTTATAATAATACGCATCATCATACTTTTCGCTGAAGAAAGTGAAATGAAACAAAATGTTACATTACTTTATGGTGTTAGGGGAGGGAGCATGTTTTTCTCTTTGAAAGGAATATTTTCTGTACAGCCAAGAAAAATTTTGCACTGGGACAATATAGTCTTATCTTATCGTATCTTTATCTTATAAAAATAAATGCTTTTTGATAAATGAGACGCAAATAATCAAGGATGTAAATTTTTTGCCCGTATACAGGACTCATATTTTTTTTTTTTACTCAAGAAATAACTACCAATGTTCCTTGATTATTACATTAGAATTTTTCATAATGAGTAGATTTGTTATTCACTGAGGCTAGTGACAAGTGCAAGCCCATGCCTTTGCTTTTAGTTGGTGAAAGGAAAAGAGATGTAAAAATAGTTCTCAGAGGTCTACAACTTTAATTCCAATTAGCGTCTCTGAAACATGTTGTCTTCTTTTCTTTTATTCCCGAAATCATTTGTTTGTGTTCCAGAAGAAAGTTCAAATGAGATTAAATTTGATTGTTCATCTGTAGGGTCCCAGTCCTGCATGTACATATCTCACATAACTATGCTGCTCTGTTCACCTCTAGGGTCCCAGTCTAGCGTGTTATTATATCTCACTTAATTGTGCTGCTCTATGGTTCCAGTAAGGAACGGGATAGAGGGTGCCCACGTCTCTCGTGACTCGTTGGAGCAGAGAAAGATAGGACTAACGCTAACATTACTAAAACGCAATCCCACATCACTCATCACCACCATTATATCAAAATTCTTCACCGCTCTCAGATCAATGACTTACATCTATAATCCTGGAATCTCTATCTGCTATTACAGTTAATTGTTATACTAAGAATGCACATAATACACTATTGGACACCATCATACACACTTTTTTCTACTAATCAGATGGCATCAATCTCATATAAATGGGCAAGAGAAAAAAACAAACAGATTTTGATGCTCTATTCCCTGTAGGGTTACAGTCTAGCATGTATATAAAGAGTCACTTTTGGCCAAATAGTTCTGAGGTGACAATATATCTTACTTAACTCTGCTGCTCTGTTCACCTGCAGATTCCGAGTCCTGCCTGTATATATCTCACTTAACTATGTCTAGCATGTATATATCTCACTTAACTATGCTGCTCTGTTCACCTGTAGGGTCCCAGTCAAGCATGTATATATCTCTCTTAACTATGTCTAGCATGTATAAATCTCACTTGACTATGCTGCTCTGTTCACCTGTAGGGTCCCAGTCTAGCATGTATATATCTCACTTAACTATGTCTAGCATGTATATATCTCACTTAACTATGTCTAGCATGTATATATATCCCTTAACTATGCTGCTCTGTTCACCTGTAGGGTCCCAGTCTAGCGTGTAAATTAGCATGTATATATCTCGCTTAACTATGCTGCTCTGTTCACCTGTAGGGTCCCAGTCTAGCATGTATATATCTCACTTTACTATGTCTAGCATGTATAAATCTCACTTAACTATGTTTAGCATGTATATATCTCATGTAGCTGTGCTGTGCTGTTCACCTGCGTCATGTATATATCTCACTTAACTCTTCTGCTCTGTTCACCCTCAGGGTCCCAGCCCTGCGTGCATATCTCACTTAACTATGCTGCTCCGCGGACTGTCTCGGGGCCGGCTGATGGTGCTTGTGGATCGCTGTGCGGGTCAAAGCTTGGAGGATGGCCGCGCCGTGATCCAAGACCCCAGCGAGGCGAGGCCGTCTCCTGGGGTCACCACGGAGAAACTGCTGATGGCTTGTGCCAGTGTGCTGGCTGGACATGTGTGTGCCCCTCTAGGGCCTGGATATCCTTCTCAACAGTAAGCAAGCGCTCTTAGCTTATACTTATATATGGGATAGAGTGCTATAATATAAATGCAACCTATCATCATCATCATTATTATTATTATTATAATTAATATGGTTCACTGAGACAGAATTTGCTGACAAGTATCCCCTGCCTCTGCATGAGAGTCAGACTTAGAAGTATTTCTCTGTGTGATGGATTTGTAATTGATGTCTGTGGCGTAATAGTTAGTTAGGCTGCTCGCCGCTGCTGGAAAAAAAATGTGACTTCGGTTCTCGGGTCGGGAAGTTATTTTTATCAAGTATCTCCGTCTCTGCTGGGTTGACCCAGACAGGCAAATGGTATGTAGGACTCACACTGAACTTTTCCAACGTAGTTTCAAGCACTCCCTGGTTGCATTGGTAGTCTAGTGGTTAAGCCACTGGACTCGTTAACGTTAGGTTGTGAGTTCGAGGGTCTGCTCGGTCCTACAATTTGTCCATGGGAAAGGCTTTACTGCTTACTGATCCCATAATCCACAAGAATCGAAGGGGGGGCTGTATGATAGACAGCCTCATCAGTACCTCCACTTTACACGTTTTTTTGCGAGCACCTGAGTTTGGGCAAAGGATTTCCCTTTCCACTCCACAATGTTGTCGGTCCACCTCTTTCTTTGCCTTCCTCTCTTTCTCCTCCCCTGCACAATTCCCAAGGAACTTTGCACAAATATTCCAATTTTGCTCAGCCCTGTTTTAGATGAATGTTAACCTTACAGTTTTGCGAGGGGAGTTGAACCTATACAATTTCACCTTTTCAAGCTTTCCCTGATTGTCCCTGCAGTCGTGTGTTTTCCTTCCCTTCAGTTCTAAGACTTGGATGCATGTTAACTTGATCGCAAACTTGATTTCACAGAGTAAGCTTATCACTTACCTGTTCCCCATCAGTTTTTTAAGCAGAACAAATAGGTTGACTGTATGCGTAATTTAGGTAATTTGTTGTTTCATCACATGAATTTCATTTTTTTTTTCAGCACCGCACAAGTGATCAAGAATGTTCAAGATGAACTGAAAGGCAAATGGAGTCTTCTTCAGTTCAGGCGTAAGTTTTGAGCTTTTCTTACGCTTTTGAGTCAAAATAGCTCTCAGTGTCAGGTTACTTTTTAGTTTTAGTAAGTTTTTACGGCGCTCGCAACTGCATAAGGTCATATGAGCGCCATCACATTACTTTGGTTTGGTAAAACTACATCATCAGAAATGGATTGTGAATGTCTGTGAAAATAATGCATTTGGTAACAGATGTAGCTGCAAATAATGATAGTGTAAAAATGCTTCGTTTCTTTGAAATTATCCTTTAAATTTGAAAAAGTTTCTTGTAGTTTAAAAAATGTATATCAAGCTTTTGCATTGCACACTTTTCAACTGAATTTTTTTTAAAGTACAATACATTCTGTGCAATTGTGTGAATGCACTGCATTTTTGAAATTACCCAAAAAAAGTTAGTGTTATTTTTTTATTATTTTTTTTAAAATATAGATATATATATAGATATATATATATATATATATATAGATATATATATATAGATATATATATATATATAGATATATATAGATATATATATATATATATGGGCAATTCTCCTGAAAGTTTGAACTTTCCGTAACACGGGTATCAAATTTTAGAATTCAACCAAATAACTTGAAAATGTACTCAGTACATCTTTGACATGTCTAGTTTTGATCCCTACACGGCTGAAGCTAAAGCTTGCTTGGTTTCTTTGGAAACGGATGTGAAGTTTTGACTAGTGCGCTATGGTCTTAAACGTTAAAGGACATAACAATACGGTCAAAACATGAAATGTAACAGAGAGAAAGAAAAATTGATTGGGGTAGCATTATGTCCTTTAAATTCATTCTTTGTTCACACAAATTTCAAAACATTTCTTAAATAAGAAAATGCTTATCAAACAATCATAATGTCTTTAACGTTACCTTGCAAAATCATTTTTCAAATAGAAAACTAGACTTTTATTTACAAAAATACTAATTCAAGTAGAACTTTAAAAGGGTATTGCTATAAAACGGGTAATTCAATGCTGTAGTTTCAGCAAATATGAACAAAATCGATAAGTGTTTTCGGAAGCAACATTAGCTAAATATAGTAGTCTTAAACGTTACTGGACAAAATATAAAAAAGGAGTGTGCAGAAAAAGGACGATTTGTTTCTTAAAAATAATATGCACACCTACTGAGAATTAAAACATGTATTATAATATTTCTTTGATGTTATCTTTCATGTTTTTAGAAGAAAAAGACACCAACTTATTGACTCATTGAGCATATTATTGAGACTTCGCTTTTTCGGGACAAAAATTGTGAGCCAGTTACAAAGTGAAACATGAAATTTCCCAATAGTGAAAGCAGTAGCAGTAGCAGCAGCAGCAGCAGTAGTAGTAGTATTAGCAGCAGCAGCAGCAGCAGCAGCAGCAGAGTAGAGTATCAAAATAAGATATTCACATCTCCTTCATTATCGCTACTAACATTGTCAAAATACATCGTTAATCGTGGCAGCAAACAGTGTTCTATCTTTCTGTGATTTCTTGTGACATTATGATGATGTTTACTTCCCACAAATGATTCCATTGCATGGTGATCATATTGAAGATTATTTGGGACCGCAACGATTTTTTGTGAGTTATGTAGCATCCCATTTGGCACACTGTTGATGAATAGTTCCTTGTCTGTAGCTCGAACAGGAAGATTGAAGCAAATTCATCACAGTATGGACCTCTATTTCCCTAACAGCTCTTTATGATTTCAAAAACACGTAACATTGCCATTGAGCATGAAACAAGTGTATGGAATGTTTACTAGCTTATTTTCAAAGTCCAACTTCACTCAGTAAGGATGAAGAATTCCAATATGTCTTTTTGCAGCTGTTTTGATCATGATAAAGAGTTTTCTGACGTACATCTTCCAACGTTTGCTTTCGAGCTGCTTTGACTTTTGGAAAGACTTTCATAACTCTGTGGACAGCTTGTTTGCATGATGAGGGTGTCTGTTTGACACTTTCTCGAATATATTGAACCTCTTTTTTC